GGGGGGGGGGGGGGGGGGGGGGACCAACCTTTATTCAGCGAGACACCAGGCAAGGTCCCGAAGGTGCCCACCTTACATCATAGATGCAACATTGAACCAAACACATTCGAACTGACAGTAGCATGCCGTGATATATAGTAACTGCACATTAGCTATGAAACAGATATTATTGTAACAGATATCATTTTTAAGTTTCTTCTGTGTCAATTCGACTATTCGGCTGCTTCGAAAAGGCTTTGTAGTGAAATGGCGTTCAAATCCAAACTACAAAATATCTAGTACAAAATTAATGTCAGCATCTTTTCTTCTTCAAAGAATTAATAATTTAAACTTTTATTTAAAACACTGGCGGCCTTATGCGAGAGTCTCAAGGCGCTTTTCATCAAAGTCGAACCTATCGATCCGAGTTTGGCCCATGACGTTGTTTAAGTTTGGTATAAAGTTTAAATCAGTCCGGGTTTCTTAAATATAAATTCAATATTCTATTCTAAAAAGCTACGAGAAGATTGATTTCACTTTCAATATGCACCTAATTCTATTCATATTACTATTTATACACTATTCACAATGTCTTTATGACCTCTATCTATTGTCAAAAAACTTAAGGATTATTTATTTATTTATTTTAACCATATTTATGCAGTGGATGTCTCATTTAGTAAAAGTAGTAAGAGCCCTGTCAAGTTAAGGAATTAAGTACCAAAATTCGTGACGTTCAAAAGATATCATAGAAGCATTAAAACATTTGTCAGCTACAGTAAATAAGCCTTAAAATGTAAAATGTAAAATACACAATGTACTACTTTGGCGATACGACGGCCATCTTGGATCGCAAGGCATTAACGTTCGTGGGGGCAAAACAAAACAAGAATGGCGGATAATATATAGAGTTTCGGGTGTTTCCCCTTCTTCCATGGGCAAAGATGTTCGAGGTACCGTCTTTGGCTTTAATAATGACAAACGATATGAAGAAGATAGATATCATCAAACTCGCTCACATTAGCTCTATTCTCTACTTTCACATCCCCACAATGCCTTGCGTCTTTGGGGGGGGGGGGGGGGGTTGGTGTTGGGATTCATTTAGTAACCCACTCAGGAAATCTGACCCCCTCTCAATTTTTGCTCAATGAATGTTTTCAATTATGTTATTGTAAAAGTGTTGTTGAACTCAGATTTTTTGTGCCACCCCCCTCTTGATCCTGATGTTTTTAACAGCCTATTACATGGCTACATACAAAGGCTATTGAATATTCATGATCTTTTGGAGTCCAGAGTAAACTATTCCCATGCTTCACATAATGTCATTGTTTTTATTTTACTTAACTCTCATTGCTGGCTGTACATTTGCTTGTTGGTTCTTTCTTGGTTTTCTGGTTTCCTTTCCCAGCACATGGAGGTCACCACTCCTAGCTCCTGCTAGCAGCTGACCATTGAGAAATAATACCCTTATAAAATAAGAATTATTTATTTTATTGTTTTTTTTTTTTTTGGTTTTTACCTGATATTTTCTCCTTTTATAATCTACTTTTGATTTAAAGAAACTAAGAATTTTGAAGTTGTTTGCCATTCCCAGTGGCAGATCCAGGGGTGGTTTCGTGGACTCCAGGAAACCCCCTGTGCAAACCAATCAGGCCAGAATTTTTGTGTGACAGCATAGACTGAAAGTGAGGGTTTTTGCCAACAATCCCATAAGGGAGCGAATGCCATGACTTATGGAATCAGTCTACATGATAGCCATTTTGGAAGGACCCATTTAGACCGAGTTCCGTTTTCAAGACCGAGGGCACATGTTTTCCCTCTCCGGACCAAATTTAGACCGAATTAAATTACTTAATAAATTTCTCCATTTATTTTTCGACTGGTTTAGCAATCCATTATTCCATGTGGAAGTGCGAATAATGTCAGGATACCAGACTGTGAGCAGATACTAAGAAAACACTGCCCACTCAAACAGCCAATCAGGACTGGAAAAAATTTGATTCTTGTTTTTTTATGTACAGGAATCTCCGTTGGGACCACTCAGCTCAATTGTACACCCTCGTCATCTGTGTGGCAGCTATGTCGCCCGTGAGGGATACTGTGAAGTTGCTGTACTTGTTCACGCTGCCATTGGACTTCCAAGTAAATCAGATGGTCGCCCACCTCAACCCTATGTCATTGGGTAAGGGATAGCATAGAGGTTTCTTGTGCTTATGGTTGTGTTTAAAGTGTTTAAGTGTGGGGATAAAGCGGGAGACAAATAGAATAAATGAAAGTAACCAAAAGAAAATGAATATTCTCTTGAAGTAACGTTTTCTCTTGTAGCATACCTGTATATGTGATAATTATCAAGAAAAAGAATTTGATAAGCACAAATTTTCCAATAATCTGTCAAAGAATTTAGCTTGCAAATGAAATATTTCTTTCCAGACTTTACGAATACAGGATTTTCGAGATGAGCGAGCGCTTTCATAAATATAAGTATAGCAGGTGCAGACATGAAAGTCGTATTCGGGCAGTACCAATAAGTAACGTTTGGAAACCATAGAGTTATAGGCTGTTTCTACAACCCTTGAAGAAAATATTTCGTCTGAAGTGAGCTATAGTTTATAATTTTTCAAAAAATCATAATACGGCTCCTGAACTATGTTATGTTTTAAAATGTTCCAGGAAATCAAAGAGGGATCGTAGCAGAGGTCTTCCTTCACGTTCAATTACACATACCTCCATTCAACCAACTCATTTTCCAACCTGGGATGAAGTATTGCTGGTAGAATTTCCACAAGAAGATTTCAAGCAAGAAGGTTCGATAGCTTTTACAGCTTAAGTTATAAGTTTATCTTATAGTTGTAACACGGGTTTTAGGTCGAAAGCTCGGTAAAATAAAGAAATTATTTAAACTTTGATGAAACAAATGTAACCAAATGATGGTTTTGTTGGTTCTTGTTTTTCAGAGGTACATCTTTGTATTGCTGACAGCCCTAGTAAAGAGCTATTAGCTGAGTACAGAATACCGGTATCACAATTGAAACCATTTTATCCTTACAACTTGGAATTAGTTAAGGTAACTGAGTTATTAGTATTATTTTTATTTCCTCAAACTTGTGTCAATCACTTTTCAATCCAACCACCCATTCACGTATGCTTTCATTTTTCCCTTCATTCCCCTTCGCTCTCCGTTCGTTGGCCCCTCCCTCTCTCTTTTATTGCTTTCTTCCTTCTCGAATAGTAGGCAAACTAAATGTTTTTTTTTCTGTTGGATTTTCAGTCAAACAATAATCTTGGCAATAGCTCAAGATTATACGTGTCATTTATCCTGAAGTTCGACAGACTATCTAAACCAGATAATAATAGTGCGAAAATCTATGGAATGGAGGTATCGTGGTGAAGAAATAAAAAAACACGCGCGTGATCGTGCAGTTATAAAGCACGCGGGGGTTGGCGGAACACGAGAGAAGTGTTAGGAGAAGCACGACGCGTCGCGGAATGCTTCTCGACATTTCTGGAGTGTTCTTCCATTCCCCAAGTGTTTTATGACTCCACACAGCACAGCAAGCAAGCTTCTTTTATAAAATACAAATTACAATAACTGTTATTTTAAAAAGAATGACGCAACTAAAGTGCGCGCGCGTGCTGAGTGCTCTCATAAAGCACGCTCTCCTAACCATTATTATTATTATTATTTTGTAATAGTTATCAACCTGGTTTTCTAAATTTAGTGTTTAGATAATTTTTGAATAATACAATTTATCAAATTAAATGTCCGAGAACGGGAAAAGGATTTGTCTATAAGGTCAAAATAAATGTGAAAGGATTGTTTTAATTACCCCCTATTGTTCTCTTGACCTCTTTTGATTTCGTATTCTTTGAATATAAACTACGTAGACTTTACTGGAACCTCGGGAAAGCAATGTATTTTGTGGTCTTTCATTGATACCAGTTAATAAGCGAAATTTTTCTTGTTTTCGATTCAGGTTTTGTTACGTGGTTTTGAGAGTCCCATTTCCAATCAAGTGGGACCGCTCATTGCAGTGTCCAGAATAGTACCTGACTGGGACGAATACAGGTAGGTTTAGTTGGTAGTAAATATTGCAAGATTTTTGTACCTTTTATTTAATCACGTGTAAAGTTTATGACGTTTCATTGTTTTTTCAAGAGAAAAGATGCTCACTAGTCACCCTTGTACAGCCAGTGTTACCATGACGACAATAGGTTTTCCATCACCACACCCTACTTCATTTTCAGTCGCCAGCTCTTCGCTTCTTTACGGTTCACCACAGGTAAGTTAAGTACAACCTACAATAAATTCACTCAAACATATGAATACAGTTTGTTTGATGTACTTTTCTCTCCATTGGAGAAGGTTTTTTCAACGATTCTCAGTTTTTCTTACCCCCAAAAGAGTAAATGTTCAGAGTTGAGTAGAGGTTGACTGTAGTAGCAGCGAGTGCGACCCAACGAGCATGCGCACTAAAAAACCGCTAAATTAACATGGCAACCGTCAAACTTTTAATAAGCAACCGTACAAGATTGGACTTCAAAAAGGCAAAATCCTAAACATTTTTGCGCGGGACTCGAAGTATGCAAAGAAAGTCGACTTAGACATGTGTTAATAATGCTCATTTTAGGCGGTTTAATTTTTTCGTCTTATGTGAATTGTAAGGAAAACTTGTACTTACGTTTTGTTTTTAGCGATCTTTATTCATTTTTTATCTAAGTCCGTCAATATTTATGCAGCCACATCTAGTTTAGCAAGCCTAGTTTAATCATAAGTTGGATCATAATGCTTAGAAGAAAAGAAAAAAAAGAAAAAAAAAGTCAGCTAAAAACACAAAATCCTGTCTCCTTTGTTTCGGATATTCTATAGTTTGAATTGTCCATATTGTTTCTCAATTCCTTTATTTTTAACACTATATTATTATTATCTTTTTTAAAACGCGTCGTTGCCTAGGTTACAGTCTGTGGGGAACCTTTTCACCAGCCGTACTGGAACCAAATGTTTTATTTTCCTGGAGACAAAGAATCGCTGTTTTCAAAAAAAGCTTCAATGGTGATTGAGTTTTATACAGCTTCACAAGGTACCGTTTTTGTTTGAAAAAATATTCAAGATTAACAACGAAAACATGAGAATTTGAAGGACTTTTGAAAAGAATGAAGTAGAACTTTTTGCGACACTTAAGCAAAAGACTTGGTTTCTTTTCAGTCATATCCTTAAATGACATGTTTTTTGACGAGTACCCTGATTCGTCTATTAACAGCATTCAGTGATTCTGGTTGGCAACTCACCAATGCAGTGGGATATTGTAATCGAATACTTAATCAGCCCTTGGCCTTCGCTCTTCAACAGCAAAATGCGTCTATGGGATTAAGATTAAACAATCTTCCAATACAGGTACTGATTCATAGTTGCAACGCATAACATCAATTATGTGTTTAACTTTCGGTCAATTTTTATGTTATCGTACTCAGGGCTTCATGAAGACGCCAACAGGAAGGAAAGCGTCGGCGGGTATTGTTTTACGACTCCTGTCACAAGAGGTAAATAAAGACACAATGAGTAAGAGAACATCATCAAGAATAACTGATATGATCTCACCATGACTAAAGAGGCACTATCTTTAACGTAATACCCCTTACTGGTGGCTGCTACTCTTTTATGTTTGTGTTATCTCTCCCTAAATCCTACGACGACCCCTGCCCCACCTGGGATGACCGTTCAGTTTAACGAGGTGATATAAAAGTAAAACTCRCCTTGCTTATTGGACTCAAGCAATTGTAAAAATGAAAGTTAATGAACGTGACTGACATTACAAGAATGCGTTAAACGTGAGTCGATATGAAATTTAAATATCTAATTTGTGCCAGAATTTTCAATTAACATGACGTGAAAAATATCTGACTAAAATATAGTTCAATTCAAATCAACGTACTCCCATCATATAGTATTTAGCATTATGTATATTTACTCTTGAATTATTTTGAATAAGAACTTTAATATACTGGACATGGCCCATGACTTCAAAGCAGGTGATAACATTGTTTTTCTTTTCTCTTATTTTTTAAAGCGCCCAGACGGTCTGGCATCGGCATCACAATTTTCTTCCCTTCCGGTTTTTAATGAAAACCCAGAAATGTTGGATCCTGAAGAGCATCTTGCAGAACAACCAAACATGACAACAGAAAAGGTCAGATGGATGGATCAATTATTTTTATTTCATAATAATGGAAATAGCCTGGTTTTGTAATTTCTATTTTTATTCCTTAATTTAGAATCCATACGGTCTTCCCCCTTTTGATRCTGTGCAACGCATTCTGCCATTAAGTAAGCCAAAAGATTCATCCGACCTACTGATGTCACAGTCTTTCCAACAACCGTACGTAAAAAAGACATTAATGAAGGATGAGGTTAACAATTTAGTAACTTGCTTCCTTTTTCTTTCAGCCTTAAAAATGACAGAGCCAATTCCAATGGAGATCCTGTAGCAATTCCTTTAGAGGTAAATTGACTATCGTTTTGACTTCACTAATGATTGTCAGTGTCTGTCGTAACTAGTTATTTTATTCTCCTCTTAGTTAAGAAGCACAATGGATTTAAGAACATTGGCCTTACTAGATTATCRAATGAAGGTAAGTACATGTTGCCTGCCTAAACACTAACCAGCTAAGTGTGAACTTAGGTGAATATCAAATTGTCAAATTCGCAAATGTGCACAGTTCTGAGTGATCTGTCCTGGTTCATATAGTTTTATCCACGACGCCAATTCATGACTCCGCTCCACTCTCAAACACATCTTGCAAAGTGATGTTATTTAAAAACATTGCATTCATTATCGTTCTTATTTGGGGCTCTAGAACAACATACTCGACTTAGGAAAAGTGTAAGGTCTGGAGTTCACAAAATCTTTCCTTCACTCCCAGTAAATAGTTATTATGTCATATCATCTGTTAAAACGTATGCTATTGCAGCCTTTTAGTCGTCGTTAACTTGTGAAGCCCTGGACCTCAGTCCTGGATTCTCTCGAAGTTCTAAATTGTTTTCTGTTTATCAGGAAGTGGATCGCTATCGAACTGCAATGAGGAAACTAGCAGCTGATCTTCTACACTTAAAGCAAGAAAACGCTCGACTTGAGGTAATGGTTGTTATTGCAGGAATGTTTTCGAGTCACCTAAGTAAGGCTTACCGCTGATTAATATATACCATTATATGGGTAATATTTCCCTATTTTGTCACATGAAATCAATATTTTGTCTTGCCGCTTAGCATCATGGTCGTAGGAAGGGAACATGTCCACAAATTAAACACAAAATCCGGAATTCAAGATGCGACCAAATCTGGAGCTCAGCCCCTGAAAGCCGGAAGTCAGATTTGCGAATCCAGAAATTATCATAATTTAAGATTCCGTCGTAGAAAGTGAATGGGATGAGATAAGAAGAGAGATTATGGTCATTAAGGCAATGCAGTTATAGTGTCATGGTGGAAAATTGCCCTATTTCACTATTACACGGCACAATAAAAAATGCGAAAAGCTCTATTTTATGAGAAGTTACAAAAGCAACACTAGCCACCAATTAACGTATATATTGTAGGATAAACACAGGTTTATAAAGTAGTTGAAAACCAGACATATCAGAGCTATTTATTCAGCTGCGAAGTATATTAGTCCAATTATTAAAATTGTTATTCACTATTCTGCCCTCCTTATAAACAAGCTCTGGCGTGATAGTGAAGTAAGGCAATTTGAGACTGATGACAAAGTCTATGACTGTACTTTTGTTTCTATGAAAATGACTGAATAATGCATCTTGGATGTAATTCAAAAGGACCACTAATGAATACCGATACCTATTTTTAATAATAATAATAATAATAATAATAAATATTTCTTATATAGCGCCTCTTCCATAAATGTCCAGAGGCGCTTTACAATAAATTCAAAACTAAATTATCCTAAAAAATACTAGACCTTAAAAAGAAAAATTAAATCAAGAGCTAAAGTACCTTAAAATTACTTAATAAAATATTAATAAA